ATTTTAGTAAAATCAATCATTATAAGATCTGTGGAGACAGAAGCGGTCATCGAAGCCTTGGGCAACCAGGGCGTCCCTACTCAGTACATCAAGATTCTTCGTGAGCTCTACAGCAACTTTACGACCAGAATCTCACCATTCTACAAGGAGGTCATCATCGACGTCAAGAGAGGGGTTCGACAGGGCGACACCATCTCGCCCAAACTCTTCAGCGCCGCTCTCGAGAACGTCATGCGTCAACTGGAATGGGAAGACATGGGAGTGAAGGTCGACGGCCGGCAACTACACCACCTTCGTTTTGCTGACGACATCGTTCTTATAACGCCGAACATCGAGCAAGCGGAGCGAATGCTGGCTGATTTCGACTGCGCCTGTGGTAAGGTTGGTCTACAGCTGAACCTAACGAAGACGATGTTTATGAGAAACGGATTGGTTCCTGATTAATATGATTAATATGATGAACGATCTAGCTCCAGAGCTGAGCAGGAGGAAACGAGCGGCTTGGGGAGCGTATAAGAACATCGAGGGAGTAGTGAAGAAGACGAAGAACATCCGGCTCCGTGCCCACCTCTTCGATTCCGCTGTCCTTCCTGCCCTAACCTACGCCTCAGAGACTTGGACTCTGCGCAGGCAGGACGAGCATGCGGTCAGCGTTATCCAACGCGCTGTCGAGAGGACGATGCTAGGAGTAACCCTATACACGCAAGTGCAGAGGGGAATCCGGAGTTCCGAACTACGCCAACGATCGAAGATCAGGGACGCTGCCGTTTTCGCCAAGGAATCGAAGATAAGGTGGGCCGGACACGTCATGCGATTTTGCGATGACCGTTGGACCAGAGCGGTTACCGACTGGATCCCTCGGGACGTCAAACGAACACCTGGACGACCGCCGGCCCGATGGTCAGACTTCTTCACGAAAGCTCTGAACGAAAGGAATGAAGGCTTCGTGTCCCTCGAGCGAGGAGGATCCACTGGACCACTCTAGCACGCGACAGGGACGAATGGAGACGTTGCTGGCGCCCGCTCGAGCAAATCGACGATCAACGGGACGACAGGTGATACAGGTGAAGATTTTAGTTTGAGAGGCACAGTCCAACAGAAGTTGTATCGACTCCCTTCGGTGTGTAGGAAAGAACCCTAGAGGGCAATCAGATATGTGGCATTTCCGTGCACGAAGATCCAACAAAAGCGCTAGGGTTTTGCAACGTAAGCTGAAGCAGTTGCAGATTTACGTAGTTACGAAATGTGTTACACTTTCTGTCAACAGGTTCATCATATGTATAACACCTTTCAATCGATTCTACAACTTGAGTGGAGGTCGGATGCATGGCCTATACCCAGACAAAATCGGATGATGACGATTGCCCCTTTTCTTATTGCTTATGTTGGAAGAATGTATTCTAGACACATTTCGAGCGTTGCCAACGAATTACACTTGCAATGGTGAAGAAGGGAGCGGCTTTTTGAGCGGCCGAGAATCATCCTCGATAGATCCTCGACGCAAATATCTCCTCAACTAGACAATGTAGAAGGAAGCTAAACATAAGTTGAAAAGCGCAAGCCTTGACCTTCCCAAACTGCCTTCGTTTTTTCAAAATCGTTTTTCATTGCAAAATTAGAGAGGTATTGCCTTTTCCCTCGACGGAATTTGAGAGACCATATCTGTCCGAATGGAAGGCTTTCAGCAATTCCAATACTGCCTGATAGAAGCAAATCCAGCTCTATCTAACCCTACCTCGTGCTGTTCAAAAGGTTGGGAAATGGAGGAATGGAACCTTTTCATCGAGGGTGTAGATTTCGACGGTTTTTTCGGGATTTCAGCAAATCTGACCCAGTGACAATCGCGCCGCAGCTGCCGTTGAATCGGCCGTTGATCGATACACTCGGCTGTTGATATACTCAAGCAGGAATTAAGATTGAATCGCAACCCGTGCCTTGAGGATTTCTGTGCATTTCTGAAGGAACCCTTTCAAATCCGACAAATTTAAAGCTACGGGTCAGAATTAGGCAACCAGCAGAAGTTCTTCCCAGGGTGCGATAGTGGGCTCCCCAAGCACTGAGGGCGCGACACTATCGCGACCCAAAAGTGCGCGGCAATGGCGCTAAGGCCTTGCCCGCCGCC